TATACGTCTTTAGTCCTGCCTAAAGTGGGTGTGGTTAGCGGTGTGGTAAACCGCCCTTTTATTACCTCATCTGTATGCGCCTCTAGTAAGTCACATGTTTAATGGCGGCATAGACTTAGTAAGTCACATGTTTAATGGCGGCATCAGACTTCCTCCTACAGTCTTGATGTATTTTTCCTTTGATGAATATGAAGTGTCCTTCTTCATCTCTTTTGATTGATTTTAATTCGAAGTCTAATTTGTTAGATATTAGGATTGCTACACCCACTTGTTTCTTGGGACCGTTTGATTGGAAGATCTTTTCCCAACCCTTTACTCTGAGATAACGTCTGTCTTTGATGTTGAGATGTGTTTCATGTATGCAGCAGAAGGAAGGATTCTGTCTTCGTATCCATTCTGCTAGTCTGTGTCTTTTTATAGGCAAGTTGAGGCCGTTGACATTGAGGGATATTAATGACCATTGACTGATGATCCTTGTTTGTGCTTGATTTATTGTTAGTGAAGTTATTTTGTGTAGTTTCTCCTCCCTTTTTCTTTTGGTGTTTTGTAAAGTGTGATTATATATTGCCTGTATCTTTGTGAATGTAGTTATCTTCCTTGGCTCTAAGTTTTCCTTCTAGCATTTTCTGTAGAGCTGGATTCATGGATACGTATTGTTTAAATCTGGCTTTGTCATGGAATATTTTGTTTTCTCCATCTATGGTAATTGAGAGCTTTGCTGGATATAGTAGTCTGGGCTGGCATCCTTGTTCCCTTAGCGTTTGTAGGACATCTGTCCAAGATCTTCTGGCTTTCATCGTTTCCATTGAGAAGTCAGGTGTAATTTGGATAGGTCTGCCTTTGTATGTTACTTGGCCTTTTTCTTTAGCTGCTCATAATATTTTCTCTTTACTCTGTAGGTTTGATGTTTTGATTATTATATGGCGAGGTGACTTCTTTTTCTGGTCGAGCCTATTTGGTGTTCTGTCAGATTCTTGTACTTTCATAGGCATATCTTTCTTTAGGTTAGGGAAGTTTTCTTCTATGATTTTGTTGAATATGTTTTCTGTACCTTTAAGTTGAATTTCTTCACCTTCTTCTATACCTATTATTCTCAGGTTTGGCTTCTTCACGGTGTCCCATATTTCCTGGATATTTTGTGTTAATGATTTGTTGGTTTTGAGATTTTCTTTGGTTGACGACTCTATATCCTCTAATGAGTCTTCAACACCTGAGATTCTCTCTTCTATCTCTTGTATTCTATTGGTGATACTTGCATCTGTAGTTCCTGATCGTTTACCCAGCTTTTCTATTTCCAGCATCCCTTCATTCTGTGTTTTCTTTATCGTTTCTATTTCAGCTTTCAATCCTTCAACTGTTTGAGTTGTTTCCTTAATTTTTTTGGTTGTTCTTTCTTGGTGCTCTTTAGATTCTTTGAGAGACTTGTTTATTTCTTGAATTTTTCCCCCATTTCATGGATTTTTTGTTTGTTTTTTCTTCTATTTCTTTAAGGGATTTCCTCGTTTCTTCTTTGAGGGTCTCCATCATCTTCATGAAATAATTTTTAAGGTCTGTCTCCTCTTCTTCGTCTATGTAGTGCTTTTCGGGTCTTGCTGGTGTTGGATCCCTGGATTCTGGTGGGGTCATGTTGGTGTTTCTATTGCTGAGTGATCTCTTATTCTGTCTTCTTCCCATCTCTTCTTTCAGTGGGTGCTGGTGGGGTCTTTCTGTCTCCACTGGTCTCCTTCCTTCCTGCAGCTGAAGCTGGGGATGCTAACACGGAGTTTGGGTCCTGGTATGGCTGATGTCTTTCCTGAAGCTGGTCTCACTGGGGTTGGGGTCTTGGAATTGTTGACTTCTTTGCTGTGTGGGCAGGTCTCCTGAAGCTGTACTCGCTGGGGTTGGGGTCTTGGAAGGGCTGATGTCTTTCCTGAAGCTGGACTCGCTGGGGTTGGGGTCTTGGAGGGGCTGATGTCTTTCCTCCTTTTTGGTCAACTTTACACAGGTAAAAATCTTGTGAGAAGAGGGAATCTCAATTAAAGAACTTACTTCTTTATCAGACTGATCTGTAGGTAAACCTGTGAGAGATCTTTTGATTAACGATTGATATGGGAGAACCTGGCTCATTATGGGCAGTGTCTCCCCTGGACTGGTGATCCTGGATTCTATAAGAAATCAGGCTTAGCAAGCCATGGGGAGCAAGTCAAAGCTGCTTTCCTCCATAGTCTCTGCATCAGCTCCTGGCTCTAGGTTGCTGCCTTGAGTTCTTGCTTTGATTGGAACATCTTGGTTTGATTGGAAGCAAACCATTTCTTCTCTGAGTTGTTTGTGGTCATGGTATGTTACCATAGCAACAGAAACTCTAAGACATGCATTTAGTATCAAAGTTCATTGCCAAGTCTGAGATCTTCAGCACTTGTTGGTACATTATCATCAAATAACTATACAGCTTGGCTTATTTAGTAGTTGGTTCACTTGGAGTTGATTTCTGTATAGATTGTGATAGGGGTCCAATACCAGGTTTTTTGCATGAGATTACCCAGCTGTCCTAACCATTTGTTTAAGGGACTCTTCCTAGTAAATCATCTTGACATGCCGGACAAAAATCTCTTAGATCTTTGGGCTTAACTCTATTGCATCTGTTCACATGCCTGTCCTTGTTCTAGTCTGACACTATGTTGGTTATTGCAGAGTTTCATAAGCCCTGAAATTGGGAGATGTGAGTCCTACAACATTCTTCTTCTGTAAGATAATTTTCAATATCTGAGTTCCTTAGTACTCCATAAGAATTTAACAATTGAATTGTTCATTCTGAAATAAAATTTGTAATTTTAATAGCGGTTGGCCGGGCATTGATGGTGCATGCCTTTAATCCCAGCACTCGGGAGGCAGAGGCAGGTGGATCTCTGTGAGTTTAAGGCCAGCCTGGTCTACAGAGAAAATTCCAGGACAGACTCCAAAACAATACAGAGAAACCCTGTCTTGAAAAACCAAAAAAAATTAATAGTGGTTACATCTAATCTATGGGGGAGCTGGCATGTTAGTGGTATTAAATCTTTTAATCTATGAACATTGGATGCCTTTCCATGTATTTAAGTCTTCTTTAATTTCTTTCAGTAACATTTTGTAGTTTCACTGTACCAGCCTTTCACCACCTTGGCTAAATTTATTACTAGGTAGTGTTTTTCAGTATACTAGTAGAGACTGATTTTTTTTAATTTCCTTATTTTGGTTGCATATTGCTTATTGTTTAAATTGTATGTATTGCCCTCTAACTAACCTTGCCAAATCACAATTTCACTCTTAAATTCTGTTATGGTTGTTTCACATGTTTTTGTACTGCTAGTTAGTTCATTTATAATTTTCTAATCTTTTTGATGAAATGATACTTTTTGTTAATTAATATAAAATGGCTTTCTTTGTTTTAATAAAACAATACTATTTAAGATACTTTATGACATTTAGTTTATGTGTGTGAGAGAGACAGTTTGCATAAGATCAAAGGAAAACTTAACTAAGTTAGTTTTTTCCTTCCAATATGTGAGTTCTTGGGTTAGAATTCATGTTCTAAGGCTTAGCAACAAGTACTTGTATCCAGTGAGATATCTCACAGGCTCATAATAGAAGTTCTGCCTTATCATCTATTTTATCTAATATTAATGTAACCACCAAGCTCTCTTGGCTATTATTTACAGACAATACCTTCTTTCACTGTTAACCTTTTTGAGTATCAAGTCAGTCCATTCAAGGAAGCATATTGTTTGATCACATCTCTTTTCAGTCTTTTTCTTTTAATTGGGAAAGTGAATCCATCTATACTTTCAGTATTATGAAGAATGAAATATGCATTTCAATTACATTGTTGTTTATGTATTTTATGACTTTTGTGCTTTATTTCTGTGTTTTGTATTTCTAATGAACCATTTAATTCTCTCTTATAGTTTGTTATTTTATTATATATGTTCATTTTTCTTAAAATATGTATGCTAATGCATTTGATAGCATTCTATATGCCTCTAGGATTTTCTTTCTTTATGTTCCTCCTGCCATATGATTCCAATGCCCTACATGGATTGTAGGTCCTACAGCCACAGAATCCATATGTAAAGTCCAGAATCTCTAATTTCATGGTATTTGGAGGTACAGACTTTGTGGTGTAATTAAGATGAGGTTGTCAGAGTGATGCCCCCATGGTGGTTTCACTACTATAAGAGGAGGAAGAGACAATAAATCTCTCCCTTTCACCATGTGGGTCTAGAGCAAAGAGATGGCAGAAGGAAGAAGTCCTTCATCACTGCATAAACTGGGACCCCAATCTTAGACTTCACAGCAGTGAAATATTAATTCTTTAGCCATTCTATCCACAGTATTGCTACCACAGTCTAAAAGAATGACTAACACACATTGGTATCTTGAAATAGAGAGTGGGGCAGGTCAACAGCTTGATAGATAAAAGTGCCATCAAGCCTGATGACTCTAAGTTCATTCCCCACAATTCACATGCTGGAGGGAGAGAAGGGAGTTCTACTAGTCACCTTCTCAGCTCTACATGTATACTGTGGAGATCTGAAAAAAATGGCCCTCAAAAGGAGTGGAACTATAAGGAATGGTGGCATTGTTGGAGTAGGCATGGCCTTGCTGGGGTGAGTGTGTCACTATGGAGGAAGGCTTTGAGGTCTCATACATGCTCAAGCCAGACCAGTGTCTCAGACCACTTCCTGCTGCCTGTAAGATGTAGGACTCTGAGCTACTTCTCTGGCACCATGTCTGCTTGTAGTCTGCCGTGTCCCACTATGATGATAATGGGCTGAATTTATGAACTGTAAGCAAGCCACCCCACCTCATTAAATGTTTTCCTTTGTAAGTGATGTCATGGTCATGGTGTTTCTTCACATCAACAAAAACCCTAACTAAAACACACATCCACACTCACATCCAGACATAAAATAAGTAGGTGGAAAATTTAAAATTTTTATTTATTGATTTTTACTTTATTTATGAGTGGTTTTTGCCTTTATGTGTCCGTACACTACATAGATGTGTCCTTGAAGTCCAAAAGAATGTGTGAGATCCTCTGGAATTATATAAAGTTGTGAATTGCCATGAGAGTACTTAGAATTGAGCTGTGCCATCTGGAAGTGCAGCCAGTGCTTTTAATCCCTGAGCCATCTCTCCAGCTCCTAAAAATATTAAAGAAAAAATGGATGCTGTTGTAAAGGGTACCTAAAATGCAGAAAAGATTTGGAACTTGGTGGTGGATAGATGCTCGGAAATAGTTAGGGAAATGCTTATGCATAGATATTGGGGAAATGATTAATGCATAGACATTGGGAGGGCATAAATTAAGGAACTGAGTACTTGCCTAGTGTGTACTATGCTCAGTTAGTACTGGGGAGTTCTTAAGGGACATAGTTATTGCCGTGAAATGACTACCAAAGGTAATCCAATGAGAACTGGGGAAGAAAATCAGAACTTGAGAGAAAGCCTCCATCTTCTCAGAGAAGGCAAATCATATGAATGTTAACAAGGATTCTAACAAGGTCACAGGATGAAAAGGTGAACATGGTGAAGGAAAGATGATCTTGGCTGAATTGTGTTCACAGTCTGTTGTGAGAAATGTAAACCATGTCAGTGATGAAACTGGATATTTGGCTGAAGAGTTCTAAGTGTTGAAGGAGCAGATAACAAGATAGGCAAGTTGAAAAAATAATTGTTAAACAAAGGACAGAAAGTCCTCAGCTTATTTACATTGCAGAGGATGTCAAAGGTATTACCATGGAACTGTCTTTTCAAGAGATAATCATGAGTGCGAGCCGCAGACCTACTCAGTACCCTCAATAGGAACACCAAGAATTTCAGCTGCAAGAGATGGAGATGGGATGGAATGAAGGGAGGGTCTCTGGTTTCTTAAATTCCACAGAAGGCGATTCAGTTATGCACATGTACAGCTTAGTCCCAGTGAGTCAAGCAGAATTGTCTCCTGCGTTGTGACTGTGTTCCTGTCTCTCTTATCCATGTTTGAAATAATTAAATCAACAATATTTCCTTCTTTCTCTCATCATTTGTCATGTGGAGAGAAGGTTGCAAAAACTCTTTACGAAAAGATTTAACAGACATTAATAGAAGACAAGTCATCCCTAAATTGACCTTTTTAAAAATGCTCTTAAGGTATCACTGAATTCCATGTTCTTTAGCTTCTAGCCTCTGAAGAAGCAAAGTCACAACTACTTAAGAAAGTTTCCTTGCTGGAAGAAAGGCTAGAGGTTGTGGACCAGAAGAGGAATAGTGAACAGTTCTATGAAAACATGGTTCTTGAGAAAGACAAGGTACGTGGAAGAAAAGTCATGTCTTAAGGGTTATTTAACCGCATATGACAAGTCTGTAAGTCATTGTTGGGTTGCAAGTTCCCACTTACTGGGATGGGCCTGTCACTCAGTGGTAATGAAACAGGCACTTAGAAGTTGTTTTTACTAAAAGTGTTGACTTGTCTTCATAGCACATCAGCAACTAAAAGCATAGGGGAAATTGGACACCTGCCTTCCTCATTCTGTGTTTTTGGCTGAAGGCATAGAGAAAACTCATTGTCTAGACTTACAGTCACCTAGGATTCTAGAAGACCAAACCCTTGTAGGAAAAGGCACCCCACCCCTGGATGAGGGCAATTGCCCACAAGAATGAGGCTGCATCCTAAAATAAACTACTTAATGTAGTAGAGGACCACCATGTAGGACAGATCCAGCTGAGGAAGTGATGGACCAGTGCTGTTTGGGCCACATCTTGACCCACATTGCTTTACTATGTAAAGTTCTTGCCTTCTAATTTCACATCCGTGCTCCAAAAATTGGATTCAGGGTCACTGAACTTATATATTTGTTCCCCTTCCCAATGTGGTCAGACTACATAAATATCTCCTTTCCCTTACCCTCATCAACATTTCTCTAAATTGGTTTATTGGGATAGGGGCCTGGGACTAGTTTATTGGGAATGCCAGATCCCAAGTCTTTAACCTAAAATCTCTGGTAAAGGTAGATATTTGCTTAGGATATAAAAGGTCCAATTCTTAGCATTCTAAAATAATAATAATTTAAATTAATAGAGGTGAATACAACATTTACATTTGGTAAGAGTGATATCTTTTTTCTGATGAACATTCATAGATTAAAATTTTTCATTACATTTAAGCTTTGTTTTCTTTTGATAATGTATCCTTTTGGGAAATATTAGCTTTATAGTCTAATTATTTTGTACATGGCATCAACTGTACACATATTTCTTAGTTTTCAAGGTTGGACCTGATAGTAAAATAATGGCTCTTAAAATTTGACATTTGTCATATTGTCTTAGTAAGGATGACAAAACACCATGACCAAAAGCAATTTGGGGAGAAAGGGGTTTATTTGGCTTACATTTCAGCATTGCTGTTCATCACTGAAGGAAGTCGGGCTAGGTGCTCAAACAGGGCAGTCTCCTGGAGGCAGGAGTCAACACAGAGGTCATGGAGGGCTGCTGCTTACTGGCTTGCTCCTGTGGCTTGCTCAACCTGCTTATAGAAGCCATAACACCAGCCCAGGGATGGCACCACCCACAATGGGCTGGGCCTTCCTCCATCAATCATTAATTAAGAAAATGATTGACAGTTGTTATGGAGACATTTTCTCAGTTGAGGGTTCCTCCTTTCAAATAACTCCAGCTTATGTCAAGTTGATACAAAACTATCCAGCACCTACATTTTTAATTTAAAAAGTGATGGATCTCTGAAAAATCATGTCTGTATCATTATATAAATTTGACTTTTGTTCAATCCAAAGAGTTTGTGTATGCCTGTGGATATGTTATTTTTGTAAACATGCATATGAGCACATACACAGGCACACACACACACACACACACACTAGCATTAACCTTATCATCTCAAGCTATCACTTTAACCCTAGCAGTTTTGACCGCAGGATTTCTCATAGATGCAGAAATGACCTCTCTGGTACAGATGTCCATACCCAGCTAACATCCCACTGCTGCCAGTCAGTAGACTGAGAACACACATTTACCTGTGGGACACTTGGACTATGAAGAGGTAGGCATTGCTCTGTATCCCCTTCTCCTTTCCAGTGCATCAAGAAGCTACAGGCTGAGGTAAAAGCCTCCCAAGAGAAACTTACAGCCCATGTAAGTGTTTTCCTTCTTCTTCTTTTGGTCTCATGATTCATGTCACTGTAATCCTGAAAATGAACAGAAATTTGTCAGAAACCATAAATGAGGTTTATCCACTGCAAAACAAACCATAAAGTTAAAAAACGATATTTTCACAACTTCTCCATAAGTAAAATTCACTTTCTTGCAGATGCTAAAGATGAAAAAGGTGCTCTCTATCTTTCATATATGTTTATAAATATATGAGAGAGAGAGAGAGAGATATGTAGTCAGATGGTATGTTGATGGCACATGTGAAGAGCTCTAAATGTAGAAAAGGATGTCAGGAAAGCCAGTGGGGAAACTGAATTACTGGTTATTGACATATAGAACATAGAACTGAGGCAAAGATCCTGAAACTTTAGTTCATGCAAAAAGCCCCTGGAAAATGTCAAAAGGCAAGCTGCCCAGAGATGCTGTTTGCTGGGCGCTTAGGTAATTGTAGAAGCCACTAACACCAATACCTCCAAACTCTGAGCCGGTCTTTAGCAGCATACTTATTGTGAACTCACTTGCCTCTGTCTTGTGGAATTTGGAAAAGTGACCCTAAATCAGAGTGCATGAATGTCCATTTGCTCCCACAACATCTTTGATGAAGACCCCATGAATTCTTGGGGCAAATTCATTTGCACGTTATGTCTGTGCAGAGAACTAATGAACACCAACAGACAGTATACCCTTGTGTATTCATGTCCATAAAGCATTCACCTATCTACTTCCAAGAATGACTCAGGCACTTTAAGCATGTCTCCAAAGCTGGTTGCCATCCTTCTAGTCTTCTCCATCTCCCTCTGAGCTGCATAGGCTAGCCTTGATTAAGGATGCTGGCCAGCCATGCCAACTGACCACTCTCAGTAGTACCAAGTTCCTCAGAACAGTTCAGAATGAAAGCAGAAAAGACTGTAAAATAATGAATTCTCATGACCATCCACTGACTATGTGAAGTGAGCTGACTTGGAAAAACCTTTTTAATTGTCCCATCTTTTGTGCTGAAAAAAAAAACCCACCTGATGTTTCATGACAGGGCTTTTAATCCCTAAACCCAGTCTTTTTCTGACCTTGTATACTCATTTGACTAATACTGAAAATGACTTGCGCCTGCGATTGTGGCTGTGAGACCTGTTCTAGCAGATGTATGCACACTAGCTCAGCAGTCTGCTGCAGGTGCCCCACGGGTGCCAGATAATGACTGTGGTGGGAGGAAAGCTGTGTACTTACTCTCTTCCCTACATCTGTGTGCAAGGAGGAAAAGCAGATACACTTCTCAGCTTCTGATACTATCTTCCAGCATCTCCTCAAGACAGGCTGATTTTCAAAGCTCTGAGTCACAGTGCCTTGGGGAAATCCCTGTGATATCTACTTCTGTGTCCTAACTCCACAGAGTGTCTGCTCCCACAATGCTGTTATTGTCCCAGGCTCGTCTGAACTGGCGCTGGTCTTTTGTACAGGGTTTCTAGATTTTTCTAAAGTAACTATCCAACACCTAGGTTTTAACATACCAGCTTATATTCATCAAGGCTTTCCTTCATCAAGAAAGTTTAAATGAAAACTATTAATACTAGTATTTATTGAGTTAGTCATATCTCTTTCTACCTGTCATATCAATTCTAAATTCTAATATAACCTATTAAGTTGGGCATTATTTCTTGGGTTAAAAGACTGAATCTTAGAAAGGTTAGATTACTTTTCACACTTAGAAATTCCTGATTTTGCCATTATGACTGAGTGTCTTTCCAAATTACATTCTCTGCATGCTCTCCCTCCGTGCTCTGGAAGTGAATCAACCCTCTGTAGTCCTTCAGTTCATACTTCTATGCAGATCAACAGCCACCTCTGCCCCCTTCAGGTTCTTCCTGTCTTAATCATCCTGTGATTATAATCCCTAAGTGTTTTTAAGTTACATTATCCCTGGAAAGAACCTTCAGTAGGACGCTACTACCTACACAGAAAAGAAAGAAAAAAATAAGTGTGGGGGAAGGTAATGGGGGTTGGAAACAAAGCAAAGTGGATTATTTCCTTTAGAAATCATCTTTGTATAGACAGTTTTCCAAAGTGGTCATCCTTAAGTACCATTTTAAAGCACACAGACTGGGAGACTGATGACATCTCATATCAAATTAAAGCAGTGTTCCCTAAATATGACCTAGCATCACGGCGCTATCTCGGAATCAGCAAGTTAGAGTTGTCATCTTCTTTGTCTGTGTCTTGAATACATCCTTTTGTTGCATTCCCCAGCCATGGTGGCTAAAATACACTATGAGATTATTCTAGAGACCAACCAAAAGATAGTCTTAAAACCCTCATCATCTCCTCCTCCATCCTTATATAGTTAGCTGTGGGGTTCTGGGCCTAGATCTGTTACCTGACATCCGCACCTCCTACTTCGTTCTGCTACAACTTCTCTGCTCTTTTCCGACCATTGTATGCGTTAGTTATTGTAAATGGTTCCAAATAATTAACAAAACTTTAGAGCCTCCTGCTGTCCCTCTCCTATCACAAAGGAGCCCATTTGTTTTAGCTGCATGGGGTTTAGTTGGCTGAGAAGAGAAAAGATGAAATCTATGTATAAATATTTTAAGTGAGGTCTGCAAGCATAGCTTAGAGTGCCTGCTTGGCATGCTTGGAGCATGAGGTTTAAGGCCTAGTGCAAGACAGGGGATAGAGAGGAAAGGAAAAGAAAGAAAAAGGGAAGAAAGGGGAAGGGAAAGGAAGGCAAGAGTGACTGATTTAAGTTGGGCATAGAAAACAAAGTGGAAGAGAGACTGACGTGAGAAAGAGAGGGGGCTTAAGGAACTTTGTAGACAGAGTGAAGGTTTTTCTGGGTGAAAAATGGAAAGATCTTGAGATTCCTGAGGACTCTGAAGATAAAGAAATAATAGGGAGATATAAGAAAAGTTTCTTGGTGTTGTTGACTTCAACCTTTTTAGGTATTTGAGTCTCCCATCAAAGACTGGATTTCCTATTGCACTGTAACTTCCTTAAATGTTCACTTGTGTAAATTAACCACTGTGCTGTGGAATTTTACATCAACTTGACACAACTTAAAGTCATCTGAGAGGAGGGAATCTTAACTGAGAAAATACCTTCATAAGAGCTGGCTATCTATTGGCAAGCCCTGGGCTGGTGGTATAGGAAAGCAGTCTGAGCAAGGCAGTAAGCAGCACTCCGCCATGACCTCGGCATCAGCTCCTGCCTCCAGGTTCCTGCCCTGTTTGAGTTCTTGTCCTGGTTCTTTGGATGATGAACAATGATGTGGAGTCAAATAAACCCTTTCCTCCCCAAGTTGCTGCTGGTCATGGTGTTTCATTACAGCAATAAGAGCCCTAACTGAGAAAAGCACCTACTGCTTTTCCGGTTTCCCGAAGACCATCCTGGATGGCACTGCAAACAAAGCCCCTGGCCCTCTTCCATCTGCTTTCCATTACTCTTCTCAGTTTCTGACTAATCCTACTGATAAAATGAAGCTCCCATTTTTCCTTACATTTGCAGTACCATGTGATGTTGAAGAATGTTAGTGATGGAAACTTGGGCAACAAGCTGTCAGACATTGGCATGTCAAAATCTACAGCACAGGGAGGGAATGCACCACTCAGACCATGTGTAGTCTTGTGTGAACCCCTTTCCTACATCATCTCCATTATGTACCCATGACCCTTCCTGTAAGTGTGCCATATTGTTTTGTCTCTAGGAACTTTGCTTATCATTCCTTTGCAAATAGAATATCCGTCTTCACTATTCAGTTTGCCATATTTTTCTCATTCTTGATCAAGATAGCTATCTTTTGAAATTTTTCTTTTACCCATCCATCTTTTATTGGTGTTTTCATATTTCTGTGTTCTTCTCTTCACTCCTTCATGGTACTGTGACTCCATGATGGGATAGACTCTTGTGGTCAGCCTTTTCTCCAAACCTGGGTTCTTGGAAAGCAGAGCACGGGCCTGTCTTTACGTCTCCCTCAGTGTCTCTTCAGTGCCTTGTGCAGATTTTCATGAAACAGCTTGAGCAGGAGAGAGGAAGATGAGAGGAGCAACGGCAGGAAGAAGGGCAAACTAGCATGTGCTTTCTCCCATGCAGAGAGTGAAGATTTAGCTACATGTGTATACTTAAGTGTGGAGTGAAAACAAGGGAGACTACTTCAAGGAGGAGGGAAAACACCAGAGACAGAGGTCAAAGAGAGTACAATAGGGGGAGTGAGCAATCACAACGACATATGTGTAAAAAATGTCACAGTGAAATCCAGTATTTTGTATTCTAATTGGAAACCCAGTAATGCAAGAAATGATATAGACAAACTATAGTGAAATTTACTTTGACATTCATAGACCCATGCTTTATGCTTCTGGACAAGCAATTTGTGGGGAGAATTGTATTCCTTAAAGATACCAGTTATGCAAGGCATCAGTTCAATCTGAGGCTAGTACTGCCAGGATATAACATGTATTAGTCACTTTTCTATTGTGATAAAATGCCACGAGCAAGGAACTTGTAGAAGAGTTTATTTGAGCTTATGGTTCCAGAGGGATAAGAGTCCGTGATGGCAGAGGGGGGCATGGCAGCTAGAGCAGGCATGATGACAGGACCGGAAGCTGGGGGCTCACATTGTCGGCTGCAAGCACAAAACAGAGAAAGCAAGCGAAAAGTGGAAGTTTCTTTAAACTCTCAAAACTCAGCCCCAGTGACATTTTCCTCCAGCAAGGCCATATCTCCTTAACCTACCCAAACAAGGCCATCATCTAGAGACCAAGGTTTCAAATGCCAGGACCATGGGGCACATTTATCATTCAAACCACCACATAATACAAAGGACAAAAGATAATAATTTCCTGTAGTAGAAGTGCAAATTAAAAACAAAAACAAACAGTTATGATAAATTCCTACTACTGGTGAAGAGATATATTTAATGAATGATCTTATTATGAACAACAATATCTTATTGTCTGGACTTATTCAGGTCGGTCATGAAGAACCCAACAGATGAATTATATTTTTATATAATTAAACTGTCACCTATGAAATAGAAAACAATGCAAGCCTTATCATTTCTGTGTTACCACTTGCTCATATTTTGAAGATTAAAATCTCATGCCACTAACTTTACTGTTCCTAGAAGCAGCTTATTTTTTTAAAAAAATTTAAAGATTATTTTTCCCAGTGCAGATGTGAGAAGCCAGACTGGGCCACCCACAGTACTAAGCTGCCTGGCCAAAGTTTTCACTATCTATCCCATGGTTACTTAACTGCTTAGAGACCTACACAAGCTAAAACAAATACTTGAAGTGAATGTTTATAGTCACTTGAAGATAATTGTTTAAGTTATAATGACTTGAATTAAGACTAGATATCTTAAGAGTGGGGAAAACCTTTAAAAACAAATGCCTTCCAAGTGGTTGGATTCATTTCTTGTTGAGCTTTAGTATTTGGAAGTATAGTGCTTTTCTCTCTGTCTAATCCTACATTAATGACCTTAATCTGAACAATAGCCCTGTGTCTTCAACCCAAGTGTGCCCTCATCCCAGTGCCCATCTTGTGTCTTGGTGTCTAGTTATCCATTATACATACCCAGGACTGGAAGTTCTATTAATCTTCAATGGAGTTATTTCAACATGGAAATCTGGATAATCGGGTGGTAGGCATTCAAGCGTTTCTATTCTTTTGTAGCATCTTATACATCTAAAATACTTCAGAATGAGCCTAACAGTCAAAAGTATCACAATGAAGAAATCCTTCAAGTGACCCATGTGTAGCCTTCTTCAATCTGTAAGGTAGGTGATTATGTGTTGAGACTGGAATCTCATAAGCTGGTTTCATAGGATACTCACCGAGTCAGCAGTTAGGGGACCTGGCACATTGGCAGGTTCATCTTTGGTACTCCTGAAGTTTTCCCCTAGGAGTTTGGTTTAACTTCTTTCTCTAAAGAACGTTTTTTATTTTTTTAAAAAATACTTTATAAGTTAAAGCACCACCAAAGTGCCAGTTTAGTTCGTGTGTAGTTTCTTCCTGCCCTAAAACTCGAGCCCACCTGCTGATTGATCTTTCCCCAATGTGGACTACTTTCTTTTGGTTTGTTTAGTTTTTCCTCGCTCCTAAACATCCATGAGCATGCTTTTCCCAGTAACACCCAGATTCCCTTTACAGTTGAGTTTTTCTCTCTGTGTGCAGTCTTGGGAGGCCTGTCATCCAAAGTATTCTGTTAGCTTCTAACTTGAGCTGATCCTACCCTGCTAGGCTACAAGAAATCTGCATGTTGATTTGAGTGAAGCAGGAGAGGGATGACAGTGATGTATTCTGACGACGGTGATAACCAGGAACCATGACAAACGA